AAACCTCAAGGAAATGGATGCAAAATGGGAAACCAAGCAAAGGTGTGGTAGAGATGGATGTGAGCAAGCTTTTGTCTTCAAGGTGGAAGACCAAAAGCCAATGGGAAGAGGCTTGAAAATGAGCTACAAGGTCTAGGTTCTATGTCATCAATGGAGCTTTGGTGAAGAAGACAACAACTTTTCTTTAACTTTTCCACTTACTAAACACATTGTTAGTCACATATACAACACCAACACTACCTCTCTTTCACACACACACATCCACCGTCCACTTGTCACCATCCTAGGCCTCCTCACATGGCTAAATCTAAGCCTTACACTTGTCATCATCCTAGGCTAACAAGTGTCCCAATGAAAAGTCAACAAGTGAACCAATCTTGTCACACTTTCTCAAAATTGCAAAAGAGTCCTCCTTCAAAATATCTCAAAGAATAATTGCAAAAAGGTACCTAAGACAAAATATCTCAAAAACTTAATTACGCAAATAACCCCGAAAAACGAAAATGTTTCCAAAAAAACTATGCATCCATACCCCCAGAATTTAAAACTAAACGAGCATGCTTTTCTGTGAAATTAAATCATGTTTTGACAATAAAAGGTAAAATAATGCAATACGCGTGGTGTCAGAAATCGGTTCCGGACACCGTACCCTACCTCGGTTTCGACAAAACCCTAAGGCGACGCGAAAAAGAATTAAACAATTAAATAAATAAAAAAATAAAAAAATGAATGTCGGAAAATGGGAAAAAAGAAAAAAAAAGAAAAGGAAGACATGGTCTTCACACAAACTGAGGCCAAGATAACTCTTAACCTCAGCAATTTCGGTAGTATCATCTCCGGTAAGAACAATATCATCAACATACACAATGAGAGCAACTGTCTTACTCCCTGAATGACGTAAAAACAAGGTATAATCAGCTACACTTTGATGGAAACCAAAATTGAGCATGGCAGTGTTAAAGCGATCAGACCAAGCTCGAGGAGACTGCTTGAGGCCATACAGAGAATGACGAAGACGACATACCATACCAAAATGAGCAGGAGAACGAAAGCCTGGAAGAGGAACTATGTACACCTCCTCCTACAAATCACCATTGAGAAAGGCATTCTTGACATCTAACTGAAATAGAGGCTAAGATCGAATCGCAACAACGAAAAATAATACATGGATGGTATTCATCTTGGCAACAGGGGCAAAATTCTCCTAATAATCTATGCCATAAGTCTGAGCATAACCCTTGGCAACCAACCGGTTCTTGTAACGAGCGACTGACCCATTTGGATTATGCTTAATTGTAAACACCCAACGACAACCCACAGCCTTTCGTCCAAGAGGAAGCGGAACCATGCCTCAAGTCTGATTTTTCTCAAGTGCTTGTAGTTCTTTTGTCATAGCATCACGCCATTGAGGTTGTGCTAGTGCATTTGCAACACTAAAAGGAAGAGGAACCGAGGCAACAGAAACAAGAAAACTCTGATAGGAGGGTGAAAGAGCATAATCAGAAACGAAATTAGAAATAGGGTATGTACAAGAACGTTTACCCTTTCGAAGAGCAATGGGGCGATCATTAAGCGAAACAATAGCTTGAGAAGGAGGTGCTGGTGCCGAAGGAACAGGGCAATCGATCGTGGGAGTAGAAGCTTGTACCTGTTGTCTTCAACTATAAACCTATGAAAAAGGAACAAATCCCCCTGGTGGAGGGGTATCACGAGAAGGAATTATTGAAGACGAAACAGGTAACGGTAGAGGCGTTGAAGACGGAAGAAAGTGATCATCCATTATATTCAATGGGAACCATTCACTTTGAGAACCAACTGAACCACTATAGTATAATGTATGTTCAAAGAAAGAAACATCCATGGATATAAACCGCCGACGACTGGGAGGATGGTAACACCTATAACCTTTTTGAGAGTGAGAATAGCCCAAAAACACACACTTCAAAGCCTTAGGGTCAAGCTTTGTTTGGATCTGCCCCAACTGCTGAACAAAGCACACACACCCGAAGACTCGCAAAGGAATCAAAAAAAGAGATGAATTGGGGTGTATGATTGAGAGTGGGGCTATAATGTTAAGAACCCTAGAAGCAGTCCTATTAATGATGTAAATAGCTGTAAGAACTGCATCTCCCCGAAATGACTGGGGAACATTCATGCCAATGCAGATTGCTCTGGCTAAGTCAAGGATGGGCGATTCTTTCTCTCAGAACGACCATTTTGTTTAGGAGTTTTAACATTAGCCATCTGATGCTCAATCCCAAATTCTATACATAACCGTTGTACCTCCCCATAAGTGTACTCCGTACCCTGGTCAGATCTGAATTTTTTAATGGTACGACCATATTAAGTCTAAACCATTCTCATAATGTTTTTTTAAATGGTGTATACCTCATTTTTGGCTTTCATAGTATAAACCCATGTAACACGACTATGATCATTAATGAACAACACGAAATATCGAAATCCAAGACTTGAAGTAACTCGGCAAGGACCCCACACATCTGAATGAACAAGTTCAAAAGATGTTAAAGCAGATTTATTACTACTAGCAGGATAATTGGAACAAACATGTTTAGTCATATGACATATCTCACAGGATAAATCTGATACTGCCATGTTACAAAATAAGGGAGGAAATAAATGTTATAAATAACCAAAAGAAATATGTCCTAAACGCATGTGCCAACGCATAAGTTGGGCTTTATTAGTTGAAACAATATTAGAAAATGAAGCTGAATGTACTTAAGGTGACAAAGGAGCATCCAACAGGTATAGACCATCCATTTCACGCCCACTGCCAATCGTCCGTTTTGACACCAGATCCTGAAAACTACAATGAGAAGGAAAGAATGTTACCCTACAATTTAATTGTTTGGTAACACTACTAACAGAAATAAGATTTGTAGTCAACTGTAGAAGACAAAGTTAATGAAGGAGTAACTGATATGTGACCCTTCCGAGCAATGGAAGATGGAGAGCCATCTGCAAGGCGTACCTTGCGATGGCCAAAGCAGATACTATAAGATTGGAAGAGTGAGGACATACCAGTCATATTATCTGAAGCACCAAAATCAATGATCCATGGTATCGAAGATGTAGATACGCTATATGCAGACGCAATAGTACCTGAGTGGGCATAAGTGGAGGTTGGTTGAGATGATGCCTCCATTTGGTTGAAGAATTGCTTGAACTTGTCCACATCAGCTTGAGTCATTGTGGCAGAAGATGTAGAGGCAGAGTTGTTAAGAGTTGACAACGAGACTGGTTGTGTAACAGAATGTGCTGAGGATCGAGGCTGTTGTTTCTGTTGCGGTGGGCGTCCATGTAGAGCATAACAACGAGATTTGATGTGACCAATTTTTCCGCAATGGTCACACCGTCCGCATTATCGTCTCAGAGGAGGACTGGTGGTAGAGCTCTGGATTGATTGGGATGGTACAGTTCCTGAAAAGTTGGGAACCAAACTTCCATAGCAGAACGATCAACAAAAGCAACACCTAACGGTCAACAGAAGCAACACATAGGAGTATGCATCCTCAAGAGTAGGGAATGAAGATAAGCCCAATAAATGAACACGAGCATCCTCAAACTCGTCGTTCAACCCGGCAAGAAACTGAAACACTCGATTCTTTTCCACAATCCTTGCAAATAAAACTGCATCATCTAGATCCTTCCAAGAGTGGAAGGAATCATAATATGACATCTCCTCTCAAATAGCACGAAGCTTGGCAATGTAACCTGAAACTGTCAAGTCACCTTGAGAAATCCTAGTGATATCTCGCCCCAACTGGAAAATTCGTGCATTATTCTGCTTCTAAGAATAAGTGCGTTGAACTGAATCCCAAATCTGCTTAGCAGTCTTCATAAATATATAGCCAACAGCTATGTTTGGTTGCATTGAATTGACTAGCCAAGACATAACCATAGCGTTATTTGCAAACCACTGTGGATATGCTTTCTCTGACTCAGCTGGTTTTTTCTCAGAACCAGTAATATAGTCAATCTTGCCTTTGCCACCAATGAACATCTTGGCAGACTGTGCCCAAATCAAATAGTTGGAACCATCTAACTTTACTGTGGTGATTTGAAGTCCTGGATTTTCTGATGAGTTGGTGGGAAAAATGGCACCACCACCCACAGAACTTGAGCCAAGAGAATTAATAGTCAAGGACCCTGAATCTGCCATAATCTGTCACACAACAATAAAAAACTCCAAAAACACCACAAATTCTGTTAATAAATCAAAGGGTCTCCTCAGACTATAAACAATAACAATGTCTCCTCAGACCATTCCCGAAAAATCCAATTACAAACCTTTTTTAAGGAGCGCTTCCCGCTTACATATAGCCAGACAGCCTCCTTCTTAATATCCGGAACCTCTTTGTAGACTAATTTTTTTTACCCAAGCCCTTCTAGGTATTGGAGACCATCTATCCCAATTTATCCAACCCTAGAAGAGTAAAAAAGAAATTGTAAAACTTAAAAATACCTATTTTCGATCACAAAACAACAACATAGCAAAACATGTGTAGGCAACGTCACAAGATGTCACAAACAGCCTAAGGTGGTTGTCACACAAGTAGCAAGGCTGCTGAAAGGTGTGGAAAGGTGTTGGCTCTGATACCAAGTAGAAATATAAAAAGAAGAAAAAGGAGAGAATTGTGTAAAGGCTTGAAATGAAATGACTCACTTATTCACAGCTCTAGTATTTATAGATAAAAAGAGTACATGCTCATATTACAAGAAAGGAAACCACATCAAATCTAAATCAAATCACAACATATTCTAAAGCATATTCTATGGCATATTCTATAGTATAATCCAAAATCTGCTATTATGGTAAGTCATTCCATAAATCGTGGATATCATGTATGCTAACACATGTTAATCTTATTTTTTGTCTTTTATTATTTTTATTTTTACTATTATAAGATCACTATAGCTTGCCTTTAAGGTCATGTTTTTAGCTGATATGTTCTTAGTATTCCTTGCTCCTGTAGCCTGCTAAATTATACAAACTGAAGCATCTTTCAAAAGTGGAGGTTGTAACTAATGACCCTAGTGGATGTACATTTATGCTGGTAATCTTCTTCTTTCTAAGTGCTACATTCAATGTGAGTTTTGATGGTTAAATATAGTTTAGTGACGGCCTATATATCTTTGCTTCTAACTGAACTGCCTATAGGGATTTGATAACCTTAGAAGCCAGAGTGTTGCCCCACCTCAGTGGACCATGCGCAACATTGATGACAGGTAATAATATAGGATAGCTCACACACTTGCATATAACTTTCATACTGTGAAATTCATTATATCTTTCTTTTTAATCTAAAATAAAATTTCTTTATTAAATTTGTCATGTTGTAGGAACCGCCTTCTGCTTTGCATCTTAAACATCTGCAAAGACGTACTGGGTCATCTTCCCAAAGTTGTTGGTATAGATGTTGTGGAGATGGCTCTTTGGGCTAAGGTGTGTGTGATTATATTCTAGTACTACAGACTGATCATTATTTTCATTCTGTTAATTTAAATGTATCTATTGTAGGAGAATACACCCACGATCACTAAGCAAAGAACTGTTCAAGACGGTGATGGGCCTGTTGTAGCTACAATGACAGAAAGTGACTTGAAAGTGACTGTTGAAAAGGAACTTGTGTCCCAAGCTGAGGAAGAGGATATGGAGGCTCTTTTAGGCACGTATGTATTATTTGTCCTTGTCTAGCTGAAAAATGTATTTTTTATATGTAATATGATAAGAAAATACACAACCACTTACACGCACACATCTATATATATATTTTATACGGTTTATTTATTTATTTTTTATTTTTTATTTTTTTTGACTTATGTTATATGGCAGGTAAATGTATTATGTGTGAATATGTGTATCTGAATCCCAAATCTTAGGATAGAACTTACATTTATGTCCTGATGTTGGGATTCCTTGGTGGCATTGTCAGGAACATAGGCATGACATGACATGGATATGCAAACAAGCCAAACCATGTAAAAAGTAGGACATGGACAAGGCATCAACAAGGCAATATCTAAATATATTTCCTTATGGAACAGGATCAACTTACCCCTATCCTTGCGTGTCTCAATAATTTGTAGAATTTGTATTTTATTAAACTGTTGGATTACATAGTGTTATAGTGTCAATCATGTATGACGAACAATATACACTAATGTCATGTCAATGAACTCATATTGATTAGTGAAATATTAAATAGAACTCTTTCTTCTTCTTTTTTTTTTTTTTTTGGTCTAGAATATTAGATAGAACTCTTATTAAGCATTATATAGATGAAACAGTTCCGAATCTCCAATTAATTTGATTTTCAGATTACATGATAAAATATGAGAGGACATTCAATTCAGCGGTTGGATGGCCAAAATAATTAATTTTACAGATTATTGGCAGGTGCAAGTTTAGTTGTAGGTGTAAGATTGATTGGATATAGATGGACCTGTCCACTTCCCTATATTATACTAAAAGGTTCTTGGGATAAATTGATAGTTTGAAAGTTCATGGGAAAAATATATTAGTTTGGTTACTTTGTATGACTTCTAAATTAGTAGTTCCATGACTTGGAAAATGATGCCCTCTTTAAGCTTATGTATGTATATTTCTTTCGAACGAATTTGATTCTAATTATTCTCTCCCAGCATAATAGGAAAATAAGATGTTGAGGTTGCTGTTGACTGGAATGGATTAAACCCATTAAATCATGGTTGTTGGTCCTATTTGCCACACCTCATTTGCCAAAATTTCCCCCTGTTTTGGCTGTTTTTTGAATCACACAGATGCAACTTGATAAATCAATCATCAAGCATCAGTCTCTTATTTTACTACTTGTTGGAACTATCTTACTCCAGTTCTGATGGTTCATGAATGCACTGCTTGCAGTTATGTCATGGGTATTGGCGAAGCAGAGGCATTTTCTGAGCGGTTGAAGCGAGAACTTCAAGCTTTGGAAGCAGCAAATGTGCACGCCATCTTGGAAAATGAACCTTTGATAGATGATGTAACCCTTTTATTTTGCAAGAACATGCTTATGAATCTTATTTTATATCTGGAAAATTTTTTGTTCATTATATTTTTGTTTCTTACGTTTTCTTTCACTCAATGAGGCTTCTACTTGTAAATAGGAGTCACAAAAGTATGAGAATCTGACTGACCTATTTTCATTCTGGCCCTTCCCTCATTATATGGAATCCCTAATTTGCATTTGCACAGAAAAGAATTTGTTAATGATCTTTTGATTTAACACACCATGGCCAATCTTTTGATTTAAGACACCATGGCCAACTCCACTATGTAATGTCCCTTGGCGGTACACACAATTCACGTAGGGGGATCAGCTATATTCCTGAAACTGAGCCAATGTTTGGTTTGTGTTCTGGATCAATAAAATTTTAACAATTTTTATTTTTCTGCTTAGAAACAATTCTTGATGAATTACCAAGTTTTATTTTTATTATCTGAAGTCTTTTAAGGTGATAGCTATGCTTGGCTCTTGTATTGATAGTTTGTGGGTTGAGCAGGTATTGCAGGGGCTAGAGTCTGCCACAAACTGTGTTGAGGATATGGATGAATGGTTAGGAATTTTCAATGTAAAACTTAGACACATGAGAGAGGACATCGAGTCGGTAGGGATTTCATCATCTAATACTGTGATTATTAAGTGTTTCTGTCGTTTTGCCATATGGATTGAGTTTTATTGCATTTCTTATCATTCATTCTACATGAATGCATATATATACAGCTATGCTGCTTCCCTCTGCTTATGTTTCAGCTATGATAATTTGGAAATTTAACAGGAATTTCAATGTTACTTATTCAAATTATTTTAAGTTATCTAAGATTTAATTAGTGCACATAATTCTGTTTTGTTCAGACCTTCTGATGGATTTGGTCCTCAGAAAAGCACTTATTCTTATTACCTGAAAAAGTAGCTTGTTTGCTTGCCGCTAACAGATTAAGAAGCACTGAAACAGAACCGGCAACTGCTTACATAATATACGACAAGCATTTAACTTTAGTTTTATATGATTCTACAGAAACAATTAAATAATGTACAAAGACGAAACTCCACAAATATAATATATATAATTATATTATGTATACTACTAAGTAAATATTTTATTTCTTTCTTTACAAGTTTATTCCTTTCCTACATTAGAAATTGTCTAATACATGCTTGATTTATGATGCCAAGTTTTTTTTTTTTATTATTCTTTTTCTCCAAAACAGTTGAAAATTCCAGGTGTGTTCTCTTCATATCCGAGAGTGTGTACAAGCCTCCTATTAAGAAGTGTTGAATCGTAAGATCTTTACCCAAGGTTCTAATGTGAGAGTGTGAGCAGTGAGTTAGACCCAGAGAGGGGAGAGGGGGAGAGATGGGCCCGCGGGGGGGCGGGCGGCGGGGGGGGGGGGGGGGGGGGGGGTGGGTGTTGGGAGTGGTGGTTTGTTGGATTTAATATTAGTTTTATATAGTTATTCTTAGTTAGATTAGATAGTTATGTTGATTATAATTTTCACATATATTGGTGTCTATGGGAACCCTAGATTGAATAATTTGGAATTTAATCTCTCAAGGATTTTCGCTCTCTAGATGATTCGAGGATTCAAATCATAATGTAGATGGACTATAATCCCATATTTATAGCCAACAAAGGTAGCGCTTATGTTTTGGTAAGTTAAATCCTCATAGAATACTTTGGAAGAGTTTCCAAAAATAGATCAATGCCCTCAAGAGTTGCTTTGATCGATGCTCTCAGACTTTCAATCTTGCAGTCCAGGCTTCCCATCAATCAATCGACACTTTTGGACTTTGTTCGATTGACCATTCAATTGATGCATCCTGTTTTTCAGTAATAATGCAATTTTGAAAAATGTATAATTTTTTTCTTTGAAAAGCCATTTTTCAAAAGCACATTTGAAACAAAAATTTGAGACTTTTCAAGATCAATTTAGGTCATTTAAGATATTTCTGAGGTCAATTTACCTCTGCTTCTAGTTTGAGGTCAAGTATTTTTTGCCATGTTTTTTTCAAATCACTCTCTGCCTTGTCTTCAGTGGTTGTAGTCAAATGACTCAAGACATTTTGAAACACTAGAACCCAACTTTTCAGTAGAAATTGCCAACACATGACTCTTATGTCTAACAAGAAGTGTTTGCACTAAACTGGTCATTTGTTAGGCACTCACTCTTTAAGAAGCATCGAATAAGTGTCTGAAATTGATTCAAGTCCATGAAGTGTTGGGTACGTGTTTAGGAGTGTCAAGAAGTGCCGGTGTCCAATATATGTTCTTCAGAGGTGTTCTTGCTATTTGTCTAGTGACTAACTGATTTGGATTTCCATTTGATCCTTCTAAAAGGGAATTTTTTGATATTTATAGTTCTAGTTGCTATTTTTCCGTGTGGTTTTATACTTTATATTAGATGAGAGGATTTCTTACAGTAAGGCAATTAAAATTTGTCACAGATTAGCACATTACCTTTTTAACTTTTTTTGTTGACCTGCACTATATTTCTGCTGTGATATGCAGATAGAAACCCGCAATAACAAGCTGGAAATGCAGTTTGTGAATACCAAAACATTAAGTGAGGAACTTGATAAGCTTCTTGAAAGATTGCGTGTCCCTTCTGAGGTTTCCTGCATCAGTTCCATTGTGGAATTTTATTTATGGTTGGTTAACTTGTTTATTCTTTGTACCTTCTAATCATTTTTTTGTTTGTTGCAGTATGCAGCATGTCTGACAGGAGGTTCATTTGATGAGGGACGCATGGTTAAAAATATTGAGGCAGGCGAATGGTTAAATGGTGCTTTACGAAGTCTTGAAGTACCTAATTTGGATCAGAGCTATGCAAATACCCGAGCTGTATGTGCCCGTCTGTATTTCTAGTTTCTGACTGCAATATGATTAGGCGAATTCTTAATATAGGAAATGTGGGACGTGACAGGGATATGCATCTATTCCTCTACCAAATATGTAATTGATGAAGACTAGAGGTTGACCGTGACTAGGGATTGGGTCCAAATATTAATTGCACTATGAAATACATAAATACTATATTCTTAATATTACTGCATGCTGTGTTCTTAAATATGCATAGTTTCTTGGTATGCCTTAATGGCCATTTTTTGTTTAGTGTAAAACTTTGGGCTGCCATGTGTAAGAACATAGAAATCTTGTCTAATGGCCCAAAGGGTCACTTTGTGCAAATAATAGTAAATGTTAGATCTGTATTTAATTCGCCCCTCCCAGCACCCTAGTTTAACGGGGACCAGGATAATAGTCTTATGTATTGGTTTGTATGCACATCTTTGGATTTTTTAATTTATTTTTTGTTATGGTTTAGAAGATAAAATGTTATCTACACAAACGAATATACATGTTTGTTTATCCATACGTGTTTATATATATTTTCTTTTAATATATTTAATATTTTCTGGATATAATTAATGATTAGTTATACAAGTGACTAAGTTACAGCATAGCATACAATTGCAGCTCAGCTATAGTAAGAGTTTGTTTTGAAGAGTAAATGAGTGCACTTCTTACCAATCTTGTGCACGTGTAGGAATTAGTTTCGACTCAAAATTGATTGGGCGTGAGGTAATTTAAAAAAAAAAAAAAAAAAAGAGAGTTCAATTGCTACCCTTTACACAATTATGCCCTTGTGGAAGGATCTAGTGAAACAAATTGACCACGCTTGAGTCTGTTATGAACATCCAGGTTGTTCGAGTTAGTGAAAATTAGGCAAGATGTAAGGTTTCTGCGTTTTACAACCTTGTATGGCTTGACAGACTTAAACATAAGCAACCAATTCTCATGTTGCCTAGGATCAAACCAACGGGTCGGTGGCCTAGAGGTATTACGGTCCTACTTTCCAAAGGGAGGTCAGGGGTTCAAGTCTCAGTGGAGGCATGTGTGTGTGAATACCAACTAAGAAAAAAAAAAAAATTATCTCTGGTTTACCAGATTTAAATGTTATACGGGTGATTTCATACATAAATAGGAACTAATTTTGGCTCAAAATAGGTTAGGAGCATGAGGTAATTAAAAGAAAGAGTACAATCGCACTTCAAGATTGGCACGGAATATGGATCATACTAGTTAGATGGAGATCTCCCATTTGCTTTTTCACGGACGACACCATTATGATTTGTGATGCAATCAAGCGTCAGTTGAGGTATTTGAGAGGAGTCTTGGTGTGTTTTCAGGCAGTCTGGTAGAAAATTAATATTGGGAAGAGTGAGATAGTTCCAGTGGGGGAGGTGCAGGAGATGGATCATTTGGCCAATATCTTGGGTTGCAGAGTTGGGGCCTTTCTGATGACTTACTTGGCTTACTGTTGGGTGCGCAGTTGAGGAGAGTTGCATATTGGGATCCAGTGGTGCAGCAGTTTGAGAGGTGGTCAGCGGGTTGGAAGAAGCAGCATCTTTCGAAAGGAGGGAGGTTAACTCTGCTAAAGAGCTCCCTTTTGAGTCTTCCTACCTACTTATGTTGTTATTCTCTATTTCGGCCGCTATTGCGAGAAGGATCAGGAGATTACATAGAAACTTCTTCTGGGGTGGCATGGGAGAGGGATTCAAGTACCATCTTTTGGGATGAGAGAAAATTTGTGGGCCCATTCAAGCTGGAGGGTTGAGTGTGAGGAGATTGGACTTGTTCAACAAAGCTTTGTTGGACTTCCCATTTTCTCTTCTCTCTTCATGTCACCGAAGCAATTTAAAAAATCATTAATCTATTTGACAATAGAAAATTTAATCCTGTAAATTTTGAGAATAAGAAAATCATATGATCATGCAGGCAGACCACCCACCAAAGATTTTTTAAATGTTGAATTGCTTCTACAAGATGGATGTGTTGTGGTTCTTCAGTGTCCTTATAAATGGCATTTTTTCTACTTCAGTATAGCACACAGTTCCCGTGGGTTGAGGTACCTGAATTTTGATTTTTATTTCCAACTATATCTTTAATAACCAGAGGGATCTACTTTTTTTCCGATCCCAGCATGCAGCTTTCTGATGCTGAACTTACCCGTTTCAGTTAATGGTTTAGAAGTCAACCTGAACGTGCTATCACATGCCTCAATGTTCTTTTGCTTGTTAAGGGTCAGGAACCTTGTTCTGTACATATTGATTTAGTAATATGCAATCTTGGAATACCAATTGAAGGTCCCTTTTTATTCACTAGGATTTTCTTGCTTAATCATGAGAATTTAGCTATTGCCATTGAAGCAGATTGCAAATTGGCATAAAGTGTGAAAATTATGAGAAAACATCTCTTCTTAAAAGTGGCAGATGAACTCTTACAGGTTAAAGAGAAGCGGGCAGAACTTGAAAAGTTAAAAAGTACTTTTGCCCGAAGAGCATCTGAATTTTTGAGGAACTACTTTTCTAGTTTGGTGGATTTCATGATAAGTGACAAGAGTTACTTCTCTCAGGTATTTCCGCATGATGTTTTATTCTTTATAATTGTCAGTCTTATGGAATGAGAATGCTGAATTTTGCTCATCTTTTGGATTAAACAGCGGGGACAATTGAAGAGGCCCGATCATGCTGATCTGCGTTATAAATGCAGGACCTATGCTCGCCTTTTGCAACACTTGAAGGTCAAATTATTTAGAAACCGCCACAATTATCAATACTCGTCATCGTTAGGCCTTTCTTTACTTCATTGTTCTCTTAATTCCTTTGCCTTTGCCTTTGCCTTTGCAGAGTCTTGATAAGAACTGCTTGGGTCCAATGAGAAAAGCTTACTGTAGTTCCCTTAATTTGCTTCTACGTCGGGAGGTCTGGGGATAACAAAAACCTCTATTTAATTGTCTTGCAGTTTATTTTTCTCATTATGTTCATGTTCCATTGTTAATTTGAGTTATTGCTTGTCCTGAATTATATTTCATTAAATGTATTAATTGTTATGTGATGGTTTGCTGGAGTTTGTCATACATTTGACCATCTCATCGTCATTATCATCCTTGCCTTAATCCCATACGAATGGGGTCGTCCACATGAAGTTTCTCTCTCCAATCTTTTCTATTACATGTCATTTCTTTATTATATTTAACTTTTAAAGTCATTTTTTATAACCTCATTCCATGTTTTTTTTGGTCATCCTCTCCATCTCTTACATTCTATTACAACTAGTCTTCCTCTTTTGACTGTTGCATCTCTAGGTTTCTGATCTTTGTGTCCAAACCACCTAAGTTTACTCTCTCTAATTTTCTCACCAAGGGGTGCTACACCTAATTTTTCTCTCACACTTCCATTAGCGATCCTATCTCTCCTAGTCACTCCACACATCTATCTTAGCACTCTCATTTCCTCACATTAAGGCGTTGTTCTTGTTTCCTTTTTAAGGCGCAACACTCCTCTCCATGCATCATAGTTGGTCGAATAATGGTCCTATAGAAATTTTCTTTTAGCCTATGTATTATTTCTTTATCACATAAAATCCCACTAGTTTGTCTCCATTTTATCCAACTAGCTCCAATCCTACTAGTTATTTCGCTATCTAACTCTCCATCTTTTGTATTATCGATCCTAGATCGCAAAAGTGTTTGTTTTGAGTAATTTCTTGGTTTTTAAGAGTTATCAATATATTATCAATGTATGAATCTTTATTAAATTTACACTCTATATACCCGATTTTAGTTCGACTAATTCTCAATCTTTCGATTCTAAGGCATTTCTCCACATTTCTAGTTTTATTGCTAAGTTCTATTTTGAGATATCTAAGAGCACGATATCATATGCAAATATCATGTGCCAAGGTATCTTGTTTTAGAATTCCTTTGTTGTCTCGTCTAGGATTCTTGCAAATAGATATGGACTTAGCATCAATCTTTGGTGCAATCTCACGTTTATGGACAACTCACTAGTGTCTTTACACGTTGTACGAACTTTAGTTTGTGTATTCATATACATATCTTGGATACTCTATGATTTGTAAGGGAATTTGTTTTCTTTGTAGGGCCCACCAAATTATATCTCATGGGACCCTATCATATGCTTTTTCTAAGTCTATAAAAGCCCTGTGTAAGTCTTGTTGTTTACTCCTACATTCTTCAACTAGTTGGCTAAGTATATAGCCTCCATTGTTGATCTCCCTAATATGAATCCGAATTGGTTATCGGATGTCATGGATTCCTTTCTTAGTCTATGTTCTATTACCCTTGGCGATATTTTCATTGTATGGTCATTGCTTTAATTCCTCTATAGTTGCCACAATTTTGTATATCCCTTTTATTTTTGTAAATAGACTATTGTACTTTTTCTTCACTCATTTGACATCATGCCTTGTGTTAGGATGTTGTTAAACAACTTATTTAGCCACTCAATTCCTACATTTTCTAATGTTCGCCAAGCCTCTATGGGTATATTATCCAGGCCTACCACTTTGGTACTCCCCATCTTCTTAAGTGTGTCCTCTACCTCCTTAGTGGTGATTCTGTTTGACATTATATTAAATTCAAGTCCTTCTACTATTTCTCTAGGGTATTCCTCATTTAATATTTTTTGAAAATAATTCTTCCATTTAGTTAATTTTTGCATTCTTTGATAAATATTGTGTTATCTTTGTCCTTAATACATCCAGTGTTATCAAAGGCCCAATGTGCCCCAAGGCGCTAGAGGTCCTTTGGAGCCTAGGCGCAAGGTGAGGGGCATGCTTGAGTGAAGCAAAGCGCACAATTGAAAATTTAAATTACTATTACAGCCTATTCATATTCCATATTAAAGGCGCACATGTCGTCAAAGGTGCACATGGGCACACAACAGGCGCAAGTGTTGCGTCTGTATGAGCCTAGAGCCTAAATACATCTAATGTGGTTTAAGTCTTTAGTTGATCTATCTCGTTTTTTTGCTAATTTATAAATGTTTTTTCGCCTTCTTTTGTGCCTAATTTTTCATATAGGAAATTTAATAAGCTTTGTTTAGCTTTACTTACTATCTTCTTTGTTTGACTTTTGAGTTAATTATGTGTGTCTTGGTCTTCTTGTAGCTTACTTTTTTGTCATGCTTTAAAAAAAATTTCTCTTTTGTTTAATCGTTTGTTGCACTTCCTCACTCCACCACCATGTCTCTTTTTTAATGAATTTCTCCCCCTTAGTTTCGGCCAAAACTTCTTTTGTCTTATCCTTAATATAATTTGCCATTTTGAGCCACAAGTTATTTAAATCATCATTCTAATCCCATTGCTTATCCTTTAGTATTTGTTCTTTAAAAGCGGTTGCTTGACAACTACCATTTAATTTTTTCCACTTAATGTTTTTGTGTCCCTTTTCGCTTTTTTATACTTAAACCCTTTGATTAATATGTCTAAAATTTGTATGCGATGTTGGTTTGTGAGGCTCTCCTTGGGAATCACCTTACAATATTTACATTGAGGCCCATTTTCTCCTATGTAAGCATTAATTAATTTGTGTTTTATTTATTCCACTTTTAAATATTTTTAGATTCTCCTCTCTTTTGTTTAAAAAAAAAAAAAAAGAAGAGAAGTGTTAGCAATAGCCAAGTCATATGCTTTTGCAAATAAGTGTTTCTCCTATCTCATTTCAGTCTCCAAAACCGTATCCCATGGATTTGTGTATATCCTATCCTATCAACACCTACATGTCCATTAAAATCACTGCCTACAAAAATGTTCCTTGAGGAGCATATTCAAGATATGCTCATCATGGACAATTTTACTAATCAAAAAAAAAAAAAAAAAAAAATCTAGGACAATCTTAATAAATATTAAGCTATCTCCTTCTCTTCTCACCTCTACTACCTTATCCCTCATGTAGTGATCTATGATTCTCTAACTATGCCCACTCCATTTCGTGGGTTGTCGTTCCCTCTTGAGTAAAAAAGTTTATATTTTCCCCCAATATTGTAGGCAAATTATATTCATTTTTCATTGTTTTAACCATCTGAAGAACCTTTTGTCTTCAGAATCTCTCTGTTATGAACATCAACTTGGTAATTCTCAGTTTAGCATCAACCTACAGTTGAACCAACACTAGCTGGTTTACTTTGGGTGAAGGGCCAATTAGCACCTGTATGTTGTCATATATGCTTAAAATTTCGTCATACTATCAGTTGGAACTGTGTTGTTACCTAAATATATTACTGATTTTATGTTTTTATATAGTCTGCAAACTAGTAATACAATCCTCTCTAGTTTAGTTACTTGACTACATTTAACTTTACTATGACAAACATTCTACCTGCTAGTCCCTTGCTTTAAAGATTGAAACCACGGTATACAACTTAATGCTATGTTAAATAGACTGAATGGCCAATTTAATAAAATTTATTGCAATCATATATTTTTCTAATCATGGGTGATGCTATCAATACCGGGTCATAATTAAGGATGCATTATCACAGGCAGTCATGGTTATTACTTATTACACTAGATCTGGAAACTGAATTGATTCTAGGGGAAAGGTTTCTCAAGTTTGGTTGACAAAGTGGGCTGTTATTTGTGTTCTTTTTTTTTTTTCTTTCCCTTCCCCACACACCCACCCCTCCCCCCCCCCCCCCCCCGCCCCCCCCCCCCCCCCCCCCCCCCCCCAGGCGGGGGTTCCCTCCAAGGAATTGTTTGCACCCAAGAGGATTCGAACCGTATTTGTGTTCATTCTCTCCCCACATGCAGAAATTTATGTGTTTTCACTATTTTTTTTATGTGAATGTGATGTGTGTATGCATGGGTAAGTGTCCTAACTTGGTCAGGCTGTGCAGTCTTCTTTTTGGCTAGTTGGTAATGCACACACATCTGCACACGTCAAATGGCTCATTAATGAAAATTATAACTCCATATACATCGTAAAATTTAGTCGTATAAATCTTTTGACCATTTGATTCATATGGATTGCAATAACAGTTGTGCCCATGTTTGTGGCTTTTCTGGTAACTATTGCAACTTACATGTACTGATACTCTACTAAATTTTAAGCTGAAAATGTGGAACTTTGACACCCTCTGCCCCCCAACCCCTCCCTTCCTCCTCCCTCTTCCTTGCAAAGATTCATCTGAAATATGGTGTGTTTAAACCTAGCTTCATCGAGCCACCATATTTCGTATCTGGTTTCTTCTTACTGCACTAACTGTAAAGAATATCCGGTCATGTTATTTGCTCAACATGCACTGAGGTAACTTTTTTTCATTTCATTTCTATATATGACTTGGTGAGACACTAGTTGTAATGCTTTCTGAAATTTTGCAGTATTTTATTATCTAATACCTGGAAAATCCATTGGAGGTTGTAGAACTTCTGACATTTTATGAATATCACAAGTTCGAATTTGTGGCAACTGAACATTCCCTTAATCGTCTACAGGCTCGTGAGTTTGCAAATGAGCTTCGTTCTAGTACTAAAGCATCAAGAAATTCAACTGTATGGCTTGAAGCTTTCACAGGTTCCAGTCAAAATATGAGCAATGCAGACACTTCTACAGTTTCAGAGGCCTACGCCAAAATGCTTACAATATTTATACCACTCCTTGTAGATGAGGTTACAAACTAATTATCTGCTCCTTTTGTTTTTGAAACAAAATCTAATGTTATCCCAAACACCCTTCACTCCCCCCTCCCGCATGGCATCCCTCTTCTCCATCTTGTAACAAAATTCAGTTCTTCCATTTCTCAAACTGCAGAGCTCTTTTCTTGCACACTTCATGTGCTTTGAAGTTCCTGCACTTGTCCCACCAGGAGGTCCTGCCAATGGTAACAAAACTGGAACCAACGATGATGACACCAATGATGATAATTTGGGCATCATGGAAATTGATGAGAATGAAAAAAAAAAGGGTAATCCTTTTCCCAATGGTAATCTGGTTCAGCCTGTTAAAGTTGACTCATCACTGTATAATTAATTATGTTGGTAAAAATTCTGCAGAGCTGGGAATACTAAATGAGTCACTTCAGGATCTGCTGAATGGAATACAAGTAATATACACAATATTTTGCGAATTTTATTATTTCAGTTACTGGACTTCTAGTACTGGATTTTTTTATGTAATGACCAAGTGCCTCTTTAATGCCCTACTCCCCTCCTGGCTAGGTAGGCTAAAAATGGTCCTCATGAGTTGGAATCAATCAGGCTGAGATTACTATGAAAAATTACATTTGATTGTTAATTTTCTCCAAGTTTGGATGATAATTGCAAGCCAATAATTGTACCTTTTCTTTTTAGGAAAAAAGTGATTTAAGTTCATATCATGATTTGAATGGATGACTACATCTAGTGAAGCGTAGAGTGCTAAAATTTAGTACTCGGGGTGAATAAGTTTTGAGTGTAGTACTAGAGTCATCATTCCCTAAAATGTTTTATATAGACTCCATCAATGAGTTTTTAATTGACGACCATGTCAGGCAGAACCGTTTGTGTTAGGTTGGAGATTTTACATCCCAATAGATGGTTTTGGGATAAAAATCAAGATTGAACTGCAATCTATTATATATGCGATGATGCATGGTTTGTTATACCCAAAAAAATACCCAGATTGATCTAGAAGCACCTTAGTCTCCAAGGTCTGCTCAAGGATTCAGAAGCTTTAACTCTGGGTTCTTCTCTGGAGGTAGAGTAAGCTGCCTTGTCAAACCAGAAAGAATGGAGGGAAGGGTAGAGGAACTACAAGTATAATTCCTTCAAAATGCACCACAAATGAATAATGAAGAAAACTAATAAAAGCGACACACACACCCAGCCTTTTGAGAACTAATCTGCGAATGGGTGTTTATTGCCCTCATCAAATCAAAGACTCAGGATGAAGGCCAAGCACACGTGGGTAGAAGGAGGCCAGAGAATGTTAAAATTAAGCTTAACAATCCAAAAAAATTCTTCTGTTCTGCTGCTTCGCACCTAATGTGGCATATGTCGCATATGGGCAGCTTTTGAAATTATTTTGTTGCTTCTATAATTCCATTGCCTTATTACACCACCAATTTCAACAACTCTGCCACTGAATTAAACTTGGAGAAGTACCAAGTATAGAGTATAAAAATTCCTAAAGCTACATCGTATCATCCCAGTGGTCTCTTTTGATTATTAGATTGCTATTCAAAGAAGTTAACTCACTTTTTTTTTACCTAATCTTCTTGGTGCTTCTGAGTTTTATTTATGGATTGGTTTCATTTTTTCAGTATATCATTTTATTTTTCAATTGCAATTTCTTTTTATATTTTTTCTTTCTTTCTTTTAAACTGTTGCAAAACAGTCGGCATTGCTGTTTGACTAACTTTGATTAGTACAACCTTTTCTTTCTTTTCTTAAATATTTAGGAAGACTTCTATGCTGTGGTGGATTGGGCATACAAGATTGATCCACTGCGCTGCATATCAATGTACGGGATTACAGAGCGGTATCTTTCTGGTCAGAAAGCTGATGCAGCAGGATTTGTGCGTGTCTTGCTCGATGACCTGGAATCTAGAATTACTATGCAGTTTGGCCGTGTGAGTTATAGACTTATAACTTCTGTTCCAAACAATTTATTGCAATTTGCATTCTTATGATGATGACATTCACCACCCACTTTACGTTGATATTGCAGTTTGTTGATGAAGCTTGTCACCAGATTGAAAGAAATGAGCGAAACGTTCGGCAAACAGGGGTCTTGTTGTATATACCAAGGTGAACTGGATCTCACAGGTTTATTCTTCGTAAATTGATAGACTTGCATTCTTTTTGTGGTCTTGGCAATTGTCGGATTGAAGCGATCCAGTTTTTTTTTTTTTTTTGCAATGAATAAGGGGCAGATATACTTAGGGTGTGCAACAACAAACTATTAATTTATATATTAACAGTGCCAAAAAAAATAAAAGCATTATTTGAGACCTCAGAAATCAATGACTGACATTTTGAATCGGCAAGTTTCTTAGATAAGTAGTAAGCTGTACCTGGAGATGTGGTAGTTCACTTTGATGTTTTATATATGCATGTGCTTTGAAATATCTAGACTACCAAATTCTTATTGAAGGTCTTACAAAAACTTTTGACTGCTATATGAAGCCAAGCTAAATCCCTTGCCTTACATGGAGATCTCGCCTCTTTTATTGAATACATATGCTTTTATTACTCTTTTCCGTTTATTTATTATTGATCAGTAAAGTGTCTGAGAGCCATGGTTAGTTTAATGTTAAAATAAGATCTTGGAGACAACTCTTTTTAGAGAAGGAAGTTGGAGGTGAGTGTTAAAGAAAAGGCTAGTCTGGCCCATGGATCATATAAAGATGATCTTAAATTTGGATGCAGAGAGGTTTGTTACTTAGCTCTAAAGTCATACACAGTTCCTTTTTTTTTTTTTTTTATGTATATATATAGCAAAGATGGGTTACTCGGGCAATGCTGCAATTTGATAGGAAATCATAGAACACATTTTTCCAAGTTCATTAGTAACACTTGCAGAAAAAACAAGAAGTTTAATGTAATAGAAGTCTAGTTCTAGGATGTTTGACTATTTATAATCCAACAAATTCAATAGACTTTGTTGGAAGCTCATATATATGACTTAAACTTGGCAATGGATGAAAACACTATACAAGGGAAAGTGCTACCAGCGATTATTGGAGCATTGCTAGAATGCTTTGATTGAGGGACATAAATGTTGTCAAAACACTCTTGTGCTGCTTCCTTATGGTAGTTCCTTGCAAATGATGTTTTCTTACTTTGAGTTATTATTCGTTCCAGCTTATAATTTATTGTTTTTGAAATTTTGTTAAAAATAAAATATTTATTCATATATATATATTTATATGCCTTTTATAAAAGAAAGAAATGAATTGACCAAACTATGCCATCTTGCAATAGTGTTTTCTTACAGTTTTATTTCATAACGGTATCCCATGAGCGTGACATGGAAAATGGTTTCTAAGTAGATTTATTAATCAAGTCCTTTTCTATCGTGCTTTACTACAATTTTATCTTTCTCTATCAAGTACTCCATTTTTTGGTTATAAATCATTTCAAAATGTTGTTTATAACACTTCCACGTAGATTTGCAACTCTTGCAACCCGAATGGAGCAGTACATCCATGGACAATCAAGGGATTTGGCTGATCAGGCATACACTAAACTTGTGAGTACTCTTGTCCCATAAACATGTTGTTATTGTTGTGTTGAGCAGTGCAGTGCATGAAGCTGGGAACATGAGTTGAGTTGAGTTGATTTTATTCTTATCATATTGATCGAAATAGAACTCAAGCATTGTGAGATGATTTAATATGTGTGCCTGAACTCTCTAACACATACTCCTTGTGCAATGATTTGTACCTAAACACACAAGGGATGGAAAAACTTATTTTGAATCCTGAAATCTTCCCAAGGACTTCTGTATACCTCATCTTGGTTATAGATATTGTTGCAATATAAATATAAAAGTAAACAAAGAAATCCGAAACTTCTGGAATCTGATGGAGATTTAAACCCCATGAAATCTGCTTTGAAGTTCTTCCAAGTAAAAGCCTATTAAAGAGATGACCTTCTGCAATGGTGATTAGTATACAGCATTGGTCTATATATTTAAATTTTTACCCGTCCATTTAGAAAATCTACATGGACAAATAAGGGGGTCCTCAACGTCTCAATCTGGATCTGTCAGAACTACCAGAATGTTGTTCCACAGATAGTACAATGACCAGTAGTTTATTGTGTTCTAAACCATCTGTCTTCTTGTCCAACCTGTTCCTGTAATATAGACATCACTTCTACAGTAGAATAGTGGGAGGATGACTTCTAGTAACATGATTAGGCTTCTGAACAAACCGCCAAGCCACCTGATTTCAGTACAATCTTCAACTAGTACAAATGGCTATTGTGACAACAGTCAATGATACATATTATGCTTTACTATGATTTTGTATTTCTATAGAAATTTTGCAATTGTTATTACTGGATATAGTTATTCATTTGAGGTATTTACTCTCTTCCTTCTATAATTTTTTTTTTTTTTTTTCAAAGTATGTCAAAGAATATATGCCTATGAATTTAAACCGTGTAATGGTAATATGTTTTCATTTATTATAATTTTTAATACCAATTATGATGTTTTGGCCCGAATTTGGTGCCGGGTCACATCCATGTACGACCCGACGACCCAATATATAAGGGCATTTAGGGTTTGGAGTGGGTTATGAGAGAGAGACTGAAATTCGTACATAGTTGAGAGTGGGGCTGAAAATTGTAATCTCTGATTTTACACATAGTGAAGACTTTCGCCGGATCTCCACTGTGGACGTAGGCTTTGCTGAACCACGTATAAATCTTTGTGTGATGTGTTTATTTTTCTGTCGTGTTTCGTAATTGTTGCTTGGTTCGTTGTATTTGTCGTAACACCAATATATGTCATTCATAAGTACTTAGTTTTGATCAAGGATGGACATCCTCACAAGTAAAGAATCAAGGATTTAGAAGTTTTCCATTGAACTTTGCATGCTTTTTAATAAAAGGTGACCTTTTAACTTTTTCAATGACTAGTGTCGGGGTGGGTGTCTCCCTCTACTAACGTCTGGGTTGTCCACTTGGCATCCTTATGCTGAGACATTTATAATCAGCCTGTGAACAGTAACATATTTATCTTTTTTTTAACTTTTCTGTACTGGTTACTGTATGTTATAAGATTGTAGATCTCTTGTTGTTTATCTAGTGTATGGTTTAAGCTTAAAACATGTGGATGGTTGTTTGACAGGTTAGCATAATGTTTGCAACTTTGGATAATATTGCTAACACAGATCCAAAATATGCTGATATTTTGCTAATAGAGAACTATGCTGCATTTCAGAACAGGTATACGTGGATATGGGTTACATCATATGCTTTTATAAGTTAGTCTTCATATCTATGTTTGTTAGAACAGCACATTTGAGTTATCAACAATTATCACCTTCAACATGCTGACTAGGAGCAGTTGCATGCAGTATGTATGACCTAGCCAATGTTGTGCCCACTTTAGCAAAATTTTACCACCAGGCAAGTGAAAAATATGAACAAGCTTGCACACGTCTTATCAGCATGATCATATACTATGTAAGTTATCCATCTATAAAGCTTAGCGTTCTCATTTCCTGTTGATTCGATTAATTACTTGAAACTTCTATTTTGTTTTTGCTAAAAGTTTATCAAGTTTTTCCTCATAATGTATTGTTCGAAAGTATGTCCTGAAAGTGTACGTTGTTACTAAATTTGTTTTTCCAGCAATTTGAACGACTTTTCCAATTTGCTCGAAGAATTGAGGATTTGATGTTCACAATCACACCAGAAGAGGTTTGTGTTTGAATGATAGCTGATTGCATATAGTCTCTTATTCTTTACAGAATCTTTGCATATCTTTTCAAATAGATGCTCAGAATGTCTAAGCATTCGTCAGTGATTATATAACGGCATTGCACACCATGGGTCCAAAATTAGCATCTATGCGTGTGGAACTATCTTTGGGGTGCTGACTCTTGTTGCTGTGACTCAGGGCACTCTTCCTGTTTTATGTAGTTAAATCCACATTAAAACCCTTTAAATGTGTTTGAGGAACAATTTTTGCATTACCACATGCTTTTAACCATGACCAAAGTGCTGGACAGGAAAGAACATTGCTAGAACTATGCATAGTTAACATGCTCCCTGAAGCTTATGGTAGGGACTTCTTTAGAGAACTTACACCTTGGTTTCCATCGAATCGGATATCTGATGCATTGTGATCCTTGAAACTATGTCAATTGTCGTGGTAGTGTGTCTAACAATCTCCGAGATCATGTCCACCATCCTTGTTTGCCTGGGATCTTTAGCAGAAATTCCCTATTTGATGTGGAACTTGAGATTTTATTTAAAATAGGGTTAATTGCAAAACATTCCCCTGAACTATGCCCAAACCAGCAAATAGCCCCCTTGAACTACATTTGAGACACAAAACCCCCTAAATTATAACATTTTGTTTCAAAATGCCCATACCGTCTATGTGTTGTTGAGGTGTTGACGATATGTTATCCCGTGACTGTCATGTGATGGGCTTAATTTTATTAGATGACGAAAACACCCTTCTAAACATGAAAATACAAAGATGCCCTTGTTGACCATTATAAATTCAAGATACCACATTTATATGCATTGACTGTGTACATGTATATGTATACACTGTATAAAAAATGAATCCAAATTGTTGTTCAAATGTTCACCGTCTCCTCTCTTTATAGTCTCTTTCTAGAGATCATTCTGATGGATCCAAACCCTAAAACCTTCCCAAATCTCTCCTATGTCTTGTCCAAACTCCCCTGTATCGGACCCAAGCACTCCACCAATTCACCTGACTTCGAAAAGTTGATGCTCTACTTAGGTTATTCAATAGTTGCTGCTCTCAATCTTGCAATCCTTTTTTTTTTTTTTTTTTGATAAATAAATAATTCATTAAAAAAAAAGCGTTCAAAAGGGGAACAGAGCTGAGTGTAACTTGTAAAGTGTAGTGTATATTGAGAGAGAGAGAATTAGATATCTATCATTCCCAACTTGTTACGTAATTCTGAAAATTGAGACTTTCCCAATGCCTTGGTAAATACATCTCATAGCTGGTCTTTGGATCTCACATAAGTGGTAGCTATCCTTTTACTCATCACCAAGTCTCTCACAAAGTGACAATCTACCTCTATATGTTTAGTTCTCTCATGAAACACTGGATTACTAGCAATGTACATATTAGCCTGATTATCACAATTCATTCTCATAGGCTTGTCATTGGAAAACCCCCTCTCTTGTAAAAGAGATTTTACCCACATCATTTCACAAGTTAGATGGAAAAACCCATCACTTGCAAAATTCTGTGGGGTTCTCTATGTTGAGAATACCCCCAAATATTACATCTCTCTCTCTCTCTCTCTCTCTAATTCTCTCTCTCTCAACGTGGTATCAGAGCATTGATCATAACCTCGTATTGTTCCTGTTCATCGTCTCAAAGCGAATGTTGTCATCGTGCCTGTGAATCCTTCGTTGCCACCGAGAGATTGTTAGATCGTTTTCTCAGATCGTTCACCATCGCTGTCTTTAATCGTACGACCAGTGAAGAGCCACTGTGTGTTCATCGTCGTTGTCCTCGTCTTGTGGCCGTCGGTGTGATATTGTAATCGTGGGTTAATTGCTGTCACGTTGTAGTTAGGGTTTTCTTTCTGAATTGGTACAAGTGCAGGTGGTACTGTCATCTACCCATCTGCAGAAATATGCTCCCCCTAGATTGTGGATTCGGACCGAACACCTATTTGAACTGATTGTGAATCCGATTTGATTTTACAAACTGGATTTTCGGATCAATCCAGCACGTGTAACCTGTTGGAATCTGGTTTGGGTTGTTTTCTTTGCTGTGTGCAGTTCTGTGGTTCTCAATTTTGTGATTTTCTATTTTCTCTATTTTAATTCTTCTTCCAGCAAGCTACTGGACTCATGGCAGATTCCAGTGACAATAAATTAAGCTATGATGCCATGTTTAGAGAGAGAATTACAGAGAGAGAGAGACATAATATATGGGGGTATTCTCAATACAAAGAACCCTACAGAAGTTTATATATATATATATATATATATATATATATATATTTACAAGTATTGAGTATTTACAAGTAGACCCCAAACTCTGTGACTAATTATAATATTACCCAATAGTGTATATTTGTGGAAATTACATTTTGAAAATTGTGTTCGCTTGCCCCTATTGTCATATTCCAATTCCTTTATCTTCATTTGATAGGGTTTCTATAATTATTTCCACTTTTCAACAACTAAAAAATTGCTTAAACACTGCAAAGGCCTATGCCTTTCTCCCATATGGATGCGGTCCACCACATGAATTCTCTCTTTCCATTCTTTCCTATTATATGACGACCTCCGTTGGCGGGTGGGAGACACTGGTGACCTACCACACTGGCAGGCTATGGGTGTCATGATCCCACATCGCCTGGGAAAGGTGAAGGTGAAGTACTATATGTAGGTTTAACACCCTTCTATACACAATACGTTTTAAAGTCATGATGGCCGTGAACCCATCAGAACTCCGCAGTTAAGCGTGCTTATGGTAGAGTAGTACCAGGATGGGTAACCTCCCCAGAAGTCTATTCTGGGGGAGCCAAAAGCGGACAATATTATGTTAGGTAGGGTGTGGCAAACGAGGACATTGGGTCCCATGCAGGCTAATTGTGACAACCTCTGTGGGGTGGGGGGGGGGGGGGGTGCGAGACGCTGGGTGAGCTACCACACTCATAGGCTACGGGTGTTATGATCCCACATCGCCCGAGGAAGGCGAAGGTAAAGTGCTATATGTAGATTCAACACTCTTCTATAACAACACATATTAAAGCCGTGATGGCCGTGAACCCATCAAAACTCAGCAGTTAAGTATGTTTATTCTAGAGTAGTATCAGGATGGGTGACCTCCCCAGAAGTCTAGTCCGAGGGAGCCAAAAGCAGACACTTGTCAAGTAGGGTGAGGGTTGTAACATATTATAAACCATGTCTCTTACAAAAAGCATCTTGATATAATCCATAATTTTCCATTAAATAATTTCAATTTTAACTCACACAAAATCCATGGACATATTGAAGTTAACCCAAGATCTATCCCCATTATCAATCATGGCATTACAAGAAGATCAAAACCCCAAATCCCATATTGACCTCTCCAAATCCCATATTGACCTCTCTCTCTCTCCTAAATATCAAGAAGATCAGAACCCCCAATCCTATATAGACCTCTCTCTCTTTCCTAAATTTATATCACTTACCTTTTAATATTTAGCTAGCGCTTTGCAATTGCTCACCCAAATCGTTTAGAATCTCTCGAAGCAATATGAAGTATTGTGTTGTTTCCGCAGCCAGCGATGGTCAACAGTCTCAGGTGGCAGTACCTATTATGTCACTAGACCTTTTTTAATGTATCGCACTTGGCGGACAAGGAGAGCTCCAGCAAGCCACAGAGAGAGAGAAGCAACTCGTTTGGTTTTGAGAGCTTTGTAAAAATAACTCAGTTTTACAGATGGATTTCATTTCGTTTGTAAAATGAGGTAGCTGTGTGTTAATAAGGTTGTCAATTTTTTATTGATTCTTTGGATTTTTTATTCATTATCAACTTAAGTGAATAATTTTCCAGACGGCATTTTTGAAGATGGGTAAAATTGTTAATTTCAATTAAATTAAGGGGGTAGTTGTAGTTTACGGGTTTAGTTGCAAAAGGGTCAGTTTTTTTTTCTTTTCAATTAACCCTTAAAAATATGGGAAGTGTATCCTCCCTCCCATGAAAAACAATATCAATTTATATTTAAATTTTTTAACAAGACCCAGCTGCACTGTATGTTTTTTTCTTTCTTGTGACTGCATTTTTTTCTGGTGCTTTTATGTTGATCTTAGGTATCGCCAAGTATCTTGCAATTTTAACATATTTGTCAGCTTGTAACTTCAGTCATGTAGGAGATAATTGACAAAATGATTAATATAACTAGCATGCTTGAAATATTGGAAATAGAAGAAATATTATATTTTAGAGCATATTCTATGGCGTATTTTATAGCATAATCAAATCTCTGCTAATATGGTAAGTCATTCCATAAATCGTGACTATCATATATGCTAACACTCCCCCTCAAGTTGGGGCGTGGATATTTGAGACGCCCAACTTGGATAATGCATCTTTAAACACGGTCTTGCTAGCACCCTTCTTCAAAATCTACAAGTTGCAAAGTGCAAATCTAACTAGCAATGATTTTCTCTCAAATGAAGTGCCGATCAACAAATCAAAAATGTCTCCTCAGACCATAAACAACCAACAATGTCTTCTCAAACCGTAAACAACCAACAATGTCTTCTCAGACCGTAAACAACTAACAATGTCTCCTCAGACCGTTTCCCTTCACATTTTTAAAACATGTAGATGGAAGAATCAACAATGTCTCCTCAGACCATTCTCCTTCGTACATATGTTTAAACAATGTCTCCTCAGACCATTCTCCTTTGTACATATGTTTAAACAATGTCTCCTCAGACCAGGAAAAAACAAAGCAAACAAAAAAAACAAAACAAACAAACAAACAACTATGTCTCCTTAGACCGTTTCTGAATGAGTGGGCCCTCATTGAGATCGGACCACCCTGCCTACCCAACACCTCCCGGATGGGCGATCTCACCTTAGATCATTCCCTAATGGGTGGTGCCGAACTCGCAATGTCCTCATTGCAGTTACCACCTTGACTCTGATACCAAGTAGAAATATTATATTTTAAAACATATTCTATAGCATATTCTATAGCATAATCAAATCTCTGCTAATATGGTAAGTCATTCCATAAATCATGGCTATCATATATGCTAACAGAAACATTAGCAATTTTTATTGTAGAGATACATAAAATTTTAGAACTGTTTATTATAATTACTAATTTCTGTTTTTTTGTAATAAATTTTATTTGTTATTTTTACCATTAGTGTCAAATTGATAAAAAAAATATGGACTTGTAGAAAATTGAATATTAAATGAAAAAAAAAAAAAAAAAAAAAAAAAGGAACAATGCTTGTGTGATCAAAGTTCGTCTCAGTGACAACCTAGGTGGCTTGGTATCAGTCTGACCACTGCCCTATTCTTGCCTGGGATTAGTTGTGTTTGGAAAAGAACTTTTTGGAGATTTATTTGGTATAGCAATTATTAGATATTGAACTGGCTACAAGTAGTTCAGATACTGATTTTATCACATAACTTCCAATATCTGAGATTCATTCAGTTACTATATACCATCTTCACAGTAACTAAGTTGCCCAATGTTTCGCTGAGAATAATTTTTTTTTGACAATTTCAGATACCATTTCAAATTGGATTGTCAAAAGTGGATCTTCGGAAGGTGGTGAAATCCAGTTTATCTGGGGTAAGTTGGTTTTGGAATCTTGTGTTTTTAGTTGTAAAGGTACTTCAGTAACACAATCTTATTTTTGTACAGGTGGACAAGTCCATCAGTTCAATGTATAAGAAATTGCAGAAGAATATAAGCGCAGATGAATTGTTGCCTTCATTATGGGATAAATGCAAGGTATGTAAGGTCTTCTCTAATAGCATGTTTGTGGTTATTTGAAGTACAAAACGTAAATGGCTTATGACATGACAATTTGAAAGTTTTATGGTTATAATCTTCTTTTTCTGTGGAAAGAGGCAGAAAATTCAAGTTGGAAATCTATAAAATAATTGTAATAATATAAAAGAAAATCTCAAAATACACCAAGACCTAACTGAGGTTTTACCCTTGTACCAAACCAGGATGATCTTGACCACTCCAAGAAAATCCTGAACTCTAAACCTATTAAATTAAAGTGAAAATAAGAAATCTCCAGTAGTTTTGCAACACCGCAAATTGTCTGTAAATCAACATATTGTAATTATGCAGTCGTGTTTCTCATGGTAAGTGGTGACGTCACTTTTTTTTTTCTTTTTTCTGTTTTTGTGGCCTTGTGATGTATAATTTTATTTAAAGGACATTTACAGGTGTAGTTTCCATCACACCTGTTAATCAACAGAATGTACAGGTGTGATGGAAACTACACCTGTATATTCTACTTGGATCCAACTCCATTATTTCGAACATTTTGAACAAAGTTCTTGATTGGAATTGCGTCTCAATGTGGAGAGAGATTCTTGATTTTTAGGATTAGAAATAGATGGAGAGAGGAGAATATCATAATCTCAAATGACTAGAACTGCTGGTCACTTTTCACTTTGTGAGAAAAATGTGAATAGTTTGGTAAATACATCAGGACTCTATGACATGAATGACAAGTAAAATGGAAACCCTAGCATAGATTGTGCTTGCATCAAATGTTTTGTCTCCACTCAATGTAATTTTTTTCAAGTTAAATCTTTATATAATAGCTTGTGAGAGTTTATTTTTGGCTCAGCTGGATCTGATTCCATGGTGCAGAATTCTCTGGTATAATAAATAAAGGCGTTTTTTCTTATCGAAAAGTAGAAACTAAAAATGAGAAAATGGACATGTTACTTGTTGATGCAAATGCACGTAGTTGAAGGATTAGTTGTTTACATCGAATGATGCTGTTTTCTGTTTTCGTTATTGGCAGAAGGAGTTTCTGGACAAATATGACAGCTTTGCACAACTTGTTGCCAAGATTTACCCCTCTGAAAACATCCCATCTGTAGGAGAAATGAGAGATATTTTGGCATCCATGTAAGGAAGAAGACGGTTGCCATTGAATCTCGAAGAGTTTCTTTTTCGGAGTTTTACTACAATCAATTTTTCATTACTTACAACCACCACCCAGAAAAAATAAAAATAAAAAAATTTGATCCATTGGTGGAAACATTTTTAGGTGCATTAAAATGCGTCAAGTGAATTACGTTCCATTTAGTAAAATTTTTTGAGTTTTGAGGTTAGCTAGCCATTGATTTTTTGACTCAGAAAAAAATTAATAACATATAGTAACTGCAAGTATTATATTTTTACTATCATGGCACTTCTTGTTCCCTCTTTTTCTTCAACCTTACTTTGCTTCTATTTACATATCATCTGAGTGAGAAATTGGTGGTCAAAAAATTGCCAACCAAACTATACTAGTGACTATTGTATGGTTCGTGTGCCATTTATGCAAAATGGGTGTTTTTTTTTTTTTTTTTTTTTTTTTTTTGGCGAGAAATTCACACCCACTTTATTCTTTTAGAGACTCGAACCTTCACTGTCTATTTTGGAAAATAATGAACATTGTTGCAAAGTGGTTGATTGAACCACTCACGGTAAATTCACTTTGATAATCTTTACAATTTGTTTGGGAGCATTAATGGTTACTTATGACAATGCCATAGTGAATCAAAACATTGGCCAAATTTTGTTGGGACAAAAATACAATATATATGAAAGCATTACAAAATGTTTCCATTATTAACCTAGACCTGACAAATATGTATGTATACTATAGGGCAAATTGCATCAAATCCCTCTATTTTTTATTTTTAGCGTGAAACCTCCTCCAAAATTTTCTTAACGTAAAACCCCCTAACATTTTTTATTGTTGCAACACTGCACCCTAATGACGAAAATGCCCCTTAGAGTTTTTTAAATGAGTTTCATTTTTGGTTTTCTTTTCCATTTTAATTTTTAAAAATAGAACTTTAAGAAAATTTAAAAAATTACACACCATTTAAGTGATATTATAATGACAAAAATGCCCCTTAATATAAATTTAAGAAAATTTAGGTTTCTTTAAAATAATTTTCATCTTAGGTTTTCTTTTTTCCTTTTTTATTTTTAAGAAATAAAAATTTAAGAAAATTTTCAAAATCCAAGGTATTTTTTTTAGATGCGCCATTGATTTTATTTTTCGGAATTAATTTTTTAATAACACTGTTGAAAGAGCTATTTGTATTAATTTTAATGTTATATTAAGCGGTAACCCTTTTCTCAAATACATGTATAGTATATTAAGGGCCATTTTCATCATTAGGGGGTAGTGTTGCAACGAAGAAAGAACTTGGGTTTGTTTTATGTAATGATTCTAATTTTCGTCATTTTTCATTTTTGGAATTCTATGATTTTTCGAGGGTATTTTCGTTGGTTGGGACATTTCATTGAGTCCATAACTCTTTGAAATGCAAGGTTTGTTATTTTTGCATTTTTCTGTTTTTCGGGTTGGACGGTCCCGTGCGGTACCCGCTAACGGAATTGTCGTGTACGGGGGTGTTGTTTAGGTCCATTTGCATCACATTTATTTTATTTATTATGTTATATGAAGTTGTGAATTATTACATGTGTATATATATATATTTGTGTGGTGTAAAAAGGAATTAAAAATAAAACGAAAAGAAATTAATTTTTAGAGGGGGACCCACCACCACTTTAAGTGGTCATGAGACTACATTCTTGGTCTCCATTTTTTCTTCCTCTCCCACTGGTCTCTCTCTCACCCTCTTAATTTTTTTTTCTTTTTCTTTTTACTTTAAAACTTTAATCCTTGATTTCTCCGTTCATCATTTGGAGTTTTTAGATGCCATTTGCGGCAAATTAAAGAGCTTGCCGAGATTTACGATTTGATCGGAGCAATTTCTTGTTTGAAGCACTCTAGGAAATTCGTGATCTAGGGCTCAAATTAGGGGTTTTTGCTTATTTTGAGGTAGGGGATCCTAATTCCTAATTTCTTGTTTCTTTGTGAACTTTCTCTCAATAATTGTTGTCAAGCATGCTTAATTTGGGTTGAATGCCTTGAAAATGATATTATTGTTATAGATGAAATCTATGATTATGTGTATTATTTGAATTGTATGAAAAGCATACCTAAATGTTAATTTCCATGCCATGGTGTTTATTGTCTTGCTAGAAATTACTATGTGGAAGTATGTTAAATTGTGCAGTAAAACTTCTTTCATTTTTATAGTAATGTCAAAGTATGTGACATGCATTCATAGCATTGGCCATGGAAAAGGGCAAAATGATTTGAAGTAAATGAAAAGTGATTTTTGGAGCAAAGTTTTAATTAAAGTGATTTTATAAAAACCCGGTCGTCGCGGAGTCACCAAAGGGCCGTGGTGTTAATATAACCTATAGGGAACTAAGCATGGTTGACTGGACCTCAAATGATGCTGCAGAGGTACCAAGGGTCAGGGACAGTAGCCAATCCTTCTCTCGTGTCGCTGCGGAGTCACCAACGGACGGGTTATATTAACAGTTTGAAAAGCGATGGATTTGGATTTTGAAAATGGAGAGCGACATACACGACATTGCATTTCATGGCATGAGTTTGTTTTATTATGACTTGAGCTTATATTGTATTTTTCCCCGCCACAATGTGATACCGTTGCCTTATTTCTATTCATTGCTTGGGTTTACGAAATCACAAGAGATGTGTCTTAGGCACCACCTACTGAGTTTTATACTCACCCTATTACTTAACATTTTTCAGGGTGGGGAAAGGAAGTAGTTGACGCCGACCCTTCACAAGCATGAGGAGAACTAGAGAATTTATTTTGTTACCTTTTGTATATTTGCCATCCCTTTTGTAAAGTCTCACACCATAGTAAAGTGTATATATTTTGTGAACCATATTTTGTAATTATAACTCTTGGCGGTATTTTGAAGTGAGGTGAGACTATGTAGATATTTTCATGATGAATGGGATATGATGATGTATTTTAAAGCAAACTAATTATGTTTATGATCTTATAATGTTGTATACTTTTGCCGTGAATTCGGAACTTGATCACATAACAGGTCCAGTATAAGGTTGGCTCACAACTAGCACAGTTAGAGGCCATTCCACAGAGTTAGGGTGTGAGGGGCCTTGTTTCGGCCGGCTGACCCTCATCATCAGCCGATCGAAACCCTAAGGTCGGCCGACCGAACCCCCTTCACCAGCCGACCGACAAGCTACTTTGGAAAGTCCCGAGAACAACCATTTTTCACATTCGTTTCAACCAGCTGACCATGTAGGTAAGCCGACCAACCAAGGGCCACCAGCCGACTGACCCTTCTCTTTTGACGTGTACCTTGACCTTTGTGATAGTAGAGCATATAAATTGTGTTCCCGAAGTATTTTGGACCCTTGACTGACGTGTGGGGCGTGTCTTGAGGTAGTAAAAGATGGTGTTGTCTTTAGTCGACCTCGGGTTCGGTTAAGGACAAGGTTAACAATTCGGACCCCCGAATTCAGGTCGTTATATTTTATGTCAAATTAAAAATAAAAATAAAAAAAAATTGGAGAGGGTTTTATGCAGTTTGACAAATACTATAGGACCAGTCACTCTTCAGAATTTATCAGTCATGGACGAAGTGTCCAATTCTTTAAAGATCAAATACTGGTACTCATCTTTTTCAGCGTTTCAAAATAAACACCTGAGGTTTTTAAATGGAACATGTTTATGCAACAAGAGGTAGCTCAAATTGTGTACGTGCGCGTGGGAGAGAGAGCTAACAGAAATGATCGAGTAATGCTCTTAAGAGGACCTCTCATCAGAAAACGTATGAGCTCTTCTCATGAAAGGGTCCTCTCAGGAGCATTACTCGTCTAGAAAAGCCCGGATTTCTTGACATGTAATTTCTTCTGATTTTATATACTTAGTTAGACATTCTTTATTTAAGTTAATTTGTACACCCAAAAGATGTCCATGCGCCTTCCAACTTTTCACAGACATCCATGAATGGAATCACGAGGGGATAACTGTTCTCAATTTAGAGGTCACTGCAAACCAGTTCATCTTGATGTACCTTTGTTAGAGGCTTCAGCCCTCCAATTCAAGGTAACAAAATATAAACCTTCAAATGAAACTTTCACATTATAGGGAATGAAAAAGTCATTCATATTGTCTCCAAAATTGCACCACTTTTGTGGAGGCTTCAAGCAGTCAAAAACATAATCTCGCCTCTAATTCAGTAAAAGCTAGCATTTTACAACCCCGTTATAAGGTCGTACCTCCACCATCTGACATGAGAGATGCAGCGGCAGCAGCAGCTGTTGGGACAACCCCGGTTGAATTCCCCGGTTTTGATAAATGGAGAAGCCTGCAAAATAAATGCCGAAAACCATAATTATCTCTAAGACACGGTGCAAGCTAACGATTTAATGAACAATATTATATGAGTTTTATTTATTATCAATCCAAGAATTTTATGAAAAGAGAAGAAAAATCGTATTAAAACCCTTACGGTGCAAGATATTCACAGAAAGACGACATGGAAGCGACAACTTCAGTGTAGTTTTCAGATGATGCCGGGGCTGTCACTTCAACCAGCTGTATGCCCGGCGTCACAGGCACAGCTTCATCAGTTGCATGGAGTTTTAGCATCTTATTAACTGAAGAGACAGTGACAGTTATCTGAGCACCCCTATGGAATTGGAATGCAAATCCCACTCTCAGCACCTCATGGTCTAACTTGTACCCGAGAGCGTAAAACAAGCGGAGCACATTCTTGCTTACTTTGCTTTCGATCACACTCCTCACCAAAACTGAAATTTGTTCAGCACCAGCACCTCTCATTGCGCCCCCAACATGTCGAACAGTCCTGTAAGTTTAATATTTCCATAAATACATGCATGCAAACAATTACCAAAAACAATAATGCATATCTCAGGAAGATTCCTCTCTCTACCAAGTGGGTTCAGGCTGTTCAAGATCGCATAAGAGACGAACCTCCGAAGCTACAACCCCTGAAAACAAGATAGAATGAACCAGATAGCCACCATACAAACAAATAATCACCATTGCACTTTTAGTATTAATATGTTCACGTCATGGGCCAGCCAATGCAGTAATTAGGCCATGTTATTTTTTATAGAAATAGGTCATATTCAAATAAGTTATTTGTATCCATATGTATTTAGGTCTTCGATAATCTCAACTGTCACAATCTTCACTTCAAGTCACCCATAGGCAAATCCTAACACACCAATTAAAGTGGACTTTCAGTAAAGTGAAAAGGTAACAATAGCACCAAGGGCTTAGCCCGAGTAACATCTCCTACTGCTCCTTCCAAATAGAATGCTGACGATTCGAGCCCCCTCCACCACTCCAAAAGAATAAATAAATAAAAGATTATCAATGTGGCAAACAATCACATCAAACACCAGGGAAAGTATTATAGAGTTTACTAGATACATGTATGCACGCACTGGCATGCTCCTATGGTTCATCCTTGCATGAGTAGAATAAAAGCACAATAATCCCTTACCAAGGCTTGGGCCGCTTTTTAGGCATAATTCATGGATTCTTAAACGTTCTCTATGAACACCACAAAGACCTTGAAGAAGAATCTCGAGGGCCTCAACATGCTGCAAGAAAGACTTCACAATGGTTAAGACAGAGGAGTTGGAATTTGATGCAGTAAAAACTTGAGCATAAAATTTGAACACTGTAATTAGAAAAAAAAAATTGTGCATGTAAAGGCAGATGGAATCTATGTTATATTTTTGTTTATTTTGGACAATCGAGAGTTAAAGCGCCATGGGAACATAGATGAGAGCAAATTTAAGACAAAAATCATCTTTACTAACCAAAACATATATGTGTGTGTGCGCGCATATTTTTACCACTTTCCAGCTAATAATTTTCTTTTTCTTTTTTTTTTCTTTTTTTTTATTTTTTATTAAGTAGTTAATAATAATTGTATATTTCACTAAAAGTGTAAATTGTAAAAAGCCACCCAGATTTGGGAACAACCGTAAGACAGGTTGGGGTAAAGACCATCCTGTTTTCACCATGCTCAACACTGAAATGCTTTTAACTTTTCAAAACTAACGGCTACCATAGCACAGCAACTACCACTTCACTGTGTTTCAATTATTCTGAACAAGAGACGTTTGATGCTTCTTCATACATTTTAATAATTCAAGATCTTAAACCGTTGAGTAAATGGACTTTTGCACAGGACAACAATTTTTTTTTTTTTTTTTTTTTGGTTGGAGGATAAAGCAAAAGTACAAAACAGTTGGTGTACAGAATACAGTTCTCAACATCACTAAATATTAAGCGAACATTAGAAGCATTACATATAATAGAGGAGATAGAAACAATCTAGTCGTGTGTAAGTTACCTGTGTCTCTATAATTCCCTGAACCACACACTCCATCAAAATTTAATTTAGTTCATGTGCAACACATAACCATACCTGGAAGATTAATAAAACAGAAAAACTTGATACAGCGTACACATGAATACAAAAAACAAAAAAGAAAAAGAAAAGAAAAGAAATGACACCCTAAGGTTAGGGTCTGATTGATGTATGGAATTAGAAATGGAGTCGAAAAGAGTAAAAAAAACAACATCATCATTTGTGCAATGAAAATTAACTGAAAAAATTATTAGATATCTAATCCTCGATTGCATTTTTTATTTTTTACTATTTTTTTCCTTTTTCTGGACATGCTACTGTAGTTAGGAAATCTAAAAATATCTCTATTGTTTAAGAAGATCCTTGATAGATGAGGGCTCAACACCACCAGCAAATATTCATTTTTAACGGAATGAAGATGCAGATCCACCATGAAAATAAATACAAATTATTTTAACGCTATAAATAAAAAGAAACTATGCTAACTTGTTTTCATTCAACATTATTGTCAAGTAAAAAATATAGATAATAAAGAGACAGAAATTAAAACATATATATATATATGATAGTTCCAAATAGAAACCTTTTTTTGCAAAAAAATCCATTATAAATTCATTGAAACAATCCTAAAAAACGTGTAAAAAGAACCTAACAAGATTGAAGAGGGAGAAACGGACTGATGTAGATGGAGAAACCCCAATAAATGAAAGAGAGAGTTGTGATATTATGTAGGACAGTAGCACTGGTGTGCAGAAGAAAACTTACTGCATGGAAAATTGGAGAGCAAAGGAAGCATTAACTTCATAGCATCGGTGGACATCGCTGCTTGATTTCCATTTTTCTTAAGCCTTGACATGTGAAAAATTTCAAATATGACCAAAATATTGTCTTGGATTTGCTTTCATGGGACAATTAAGACCTTCATGCAGCTATTGATTACTTGGGATATAATCTTGCATGGAAAATAATGATTGTGGGGAACTGTCAATGGTCTATGAAGCTGAGATTTTAGGGAGCTTGATGTTGGTTTGGGTTGACTTCTTTGAACAGAATTTCCAAGCGGAAAAAACTTTGATAGTTAAAGTATCTCTTTGCCAGGCAAATCCCAATGCTTGTGGTAAAATAACCTATTGAAACAATCGAGCATTACTGCCTTAAGGCACCCAGCCCCCTAAAACACAGCTGAAAAGCCGCAAACTTCACTTCTCAAGAGATGTCCCAGTGTCCCACTGCAGAGATCCATTGTTTTTTCAAGGCAGTAGCTGCTGAATAGACTGAAGGTTTTTCTTCAAAGGTCTTGGACTTGAAGAGGCAAACAAGGAACGGAAAAGATTTTGAATTTCTCACCCTGTTGATCTTTCATTGTTGACAGCCTTTCATCCCTAATCCATTTCTTCTTTTGTATTGTAGTTGGGTGAATGAAAGAAGTTTTCTAATCCCCCTAAATTGACTTGGCACAATTTGATTTGTTTACAATATAAGAATGTAAAATACCGATCCAAACTTAGTTGTCTGAATGGCTGAACATTGTTATAAAAGCTTCCCCAAAATTGGATTCCTTTTGAAAAATCTTACTTTAGCCTTTTGGTTCAATAACCAACATTTCATTTATAACCCACATGATTAACTAAATGGAAGACACTAGCCGCCACTTGGGATGCTTACTAATATTTGTTTTCTTTTTTTTTTTTTTCAAAACTAACATGGTAGGATTTTAACATTTCATCATGCTTGCTATTGTAGGCTTACTTATGTTATGATTTTAGCGTTTGATCAGTCAGCGTATTATGAATTCAGATTTCTCTAGCAAACATATAGACAGTTAAAGAATCAACAACAATTGATACAGATGCTTACATTGATTCTAACATTAAGAGATTACTAATTTTACTACTGCTATTTATTCCCTAACTACAACAGCTATTTCACTTTTACTTCTCCTATCACTACTTGCACTCACTACTACTTTATCTATAAATAATGTCATTTTCAAAAGACAAAAATAGCAATTTAAGTTGTCAAAATCAAGGGCAAGAGACAATTATAATTTTGAAAGACATTTTGTTAAAAATATGTTACAACCAGCAATTTCTCCATGTAAGGAATCATTATAACCCAATGAATCACTTCAAGAAAACATTTTGTTTTATAAACAGGTTATATTTTACAGCATTATCTGCATCAAAAGGGAAAATATTAAAAAAACAAGTAGCAGCTATTTACTAATCTTGTGGACATTTTCTATCGAAGATGTGTTATACTCTACATTGCATAGATGTTGACAAATGACAATCACAAATCAATGTATCAATGTTATAATTAGAGTGATATAGTCATCAAAGCCGAAGAAAATCCAAAGATTTGTTCGACAACATTCCACAATGCATTTAAAGGTACTCATGTAAAATCAAGCTGATGGACAAATCTAAGTAACTAATACACATGGTAATTTATGACACCATTAATTGCAGACGTCAGTCAACAAAAGCACATTAGTACAATAGAGACAACAATAACAACAGAACTTCATCGCTATGCAATTTTACAAGCAATTTCTGTGCAAAAAAATGAAAAGAAAAATACAGAGTAATTGAAGCAACTATATGTTAAATTATAGAGGAAGTTTGAGATACAAACAGAAAATAGCTGACAAATACTTAGTTTATAATAAGCGTAGCCGATCAACAACACACCATTAACTAAACTCCGTGAGCTACAAAAAGAGGGGTTGTCTTCTTCACATAATGTCACATTCAAACCCTACCTCTAAAATCTAAAATCTCCAAGTGTTTTAGTATTGCAAATACACATAATACATACACAAACTTGTACATAAATTAGCTAGGGTTTTGGAATCAAGCATGTAGAAACATATATACACGTTTGGATATTAAAGAAAATATTGAAAGATGTAAAGAGAATGGAGCTATGCAATTGTAGCCAGAATCAATGAGTAAAACATGGACAGAGAGAGAGAAATCAAGTGCGTGAGAGAGGCAAACCTGATGATGATCAAGAAAGAGTAGAGTCGTAAATTATGGTTTGTACATGTGACTATATAGATATATGTGTGTGTGTGTGTGTGTGTGTGTGTGTGTGTATTGATGGAGATGGTGTTTGTTTGCGGAGAAGAGTGGGAGGGAATAGATGACTCCAAGAAGTCAAAAAAATTGAGGAGAAAATTGGGTAAGTTTCTAATTTGTGTTTTATGAAACTGAATTTGGAAGCACGGGTTGGGAATCCCAGATGAAGGTGAGAGCGAGAATATATAATAAATAGACAGACCCCTATATAAATAGAGAGAGAGAGAAGAAATATAAAAGACTTACAAGAAAACAAATTCAAGAGATAAGTAAAATATATATATATATATATATAGCAATGTTAACAAAGAATACCTCTAAATTGATCAAAGATGTTCTGGAGGGTCTCTGGAGTTCGAATCAAAGCTCAAATGAATTCTGGAGAGAGAAAATTTATAGGGTTTCTTGGGTGATGAAGATGAAATGGATTTGATTTGATCGATTCACGAGACGCTGTGTTTCACTTGAAAGACACCCCCTGAGAGAGTAACGTTGACTTAACCTCGCAAACTAACCCAGTTTGGTTGGTAAAAAATGGAAAAGATAAAAGGAAAAATTAATAAATAAATAAATAAGGCAAAAGTGCACAATAAAGACCTTGAAAAATTAAGAAAATTAAAAATAGTACTATTTCGGGTTACAAATCAAATCCACATTTATACAAAAAAATTACATATAAGCCCTCCTGATCATTGGATGTCATTTTTTGGCGTCCTCAAAATTGCCAAAATACCTCCAGTTATTAATTAATATGAAATATTATAAATGTACAATACTCCATACCCTTTAAGGCCATCTTGCAACTAACTAATAGTTCAAGCTTTTTTATTTTGTAATTTTGCCTAATAATAATAAACAATATCAATAATAATAATAATAATAATAATAATAGTGTTTGTTAGTTGCAAGATGCCCCTAGAGGATATTATTATTATTAGGCAAAATTGCAGAAAAAATCATGAACTATTGTTAGTTGCAAGATGCCCCTAAAGGATATTATGGGTATTTTATATTTATGATCTTTTATCAGTTTTAAATAAATTAATAAATGGGGGTATTTAGGTAATTTTGACCCTTCTGAATGCCAAAAAATGACATCTGGTATCCAAGAGGGGGCAATTTACATTCGGCAAAAGTGTAGGGGCTTTTATTGCAATTTTAAAATAGTTCAGGGAGATTTTTCGTACTTTTGCCAAGAAAATATATATATATATTGGAGGATGTTCTCTTTTTATGTTTGGAAGGAAAAGAAAGAAAATGAAATGATTTAGTAAGTTTTACTCTAATGCATGTACTTAAGTAATTTAATTAGTCTCTATGAAAAAAAAAAAAAATGAAAAAAAAAGGGCCTCTATGAAAAATCTAAATTTCCACCAAAGAAGAAATATACAAAATGAAGAAGTAAAAACACGTAAGATTGTAGCTCTTGTCAAGCTCTATCGCTTCTCTAACTATGGCCCCTTCAAACTCTACGAGAAAGGTGATGAAAATTGGGCTTGAACAAATGAATCTAGAAATGAAAGTGAAGGAAAAGGGGAAAGGGCAGCAACTAGCAGAAAAGAGAGCAAAAATCTGCTTTTTTTTCTCTCATCTAACTCTTATATACTAGGTACTTTATGTATTAAAGATTACTATGCCCCTCATCGTTATAACTTATTACAAGTATTTATAACTTACTACAAGTATGCCATGAAACAATATATCTAAATGAATAAATACACATGTGCCCACAACAACTCAATGAATGACCAACCTGTCCCCACATGAAACTAACAAATACCCAACATGTCCTCAAAGCACCTATCTGTAACGACCCTCACCCTAGGCAATCACAATATTGTCCGCTTTTGGCTCCCCTGGACAGAGATCGACTTCCTAGAGGTTCATTCATCCTGGTACTACTCCAAGTTAAACACGTTTAACTCCAGAGTTTTGATGGGTTCACGGTCATCACGGCTTTAAAACGTGTTGTGTCATAAAAGGGTGTTGAATCTACATATAACACTTGTCTTTTCCACACCCAGCCGAAGTGGGATTATGCACCTGTAGCTCACTCAATGTGGTAGCCTACCAGTGGCTCGCACCCGCCCACATAGGTCGCCACAATCACCCCCCTTTTGGGGCCAACGTCCTCGTTGACTGGTGGTTGTTATCAAGCACACCAAAGCTTGTGCAAAAGGGTGATGTTGGACTAAGATGAGTGCGGCCAAGTTTTACATTTATAATTTGCCACTACTACCTTTCACTAAAAATATAGTTAGGGCGAGTATGGATCGTCCCAAGGGATTGGTGGGTTGTATTAGATTGTGGAATTAAGATTATGGTTAGTAGGTCGAGTGATCAAAAGATTGATTGGTGATTGAATTATACTAAGATGTAATTTAAACTAAAGTAAACAATTAAATGTAATGGAGAGAAAATGAGAGAGAGAGAGAACTTGGGGTTTAGAGATTACCACTAAGTATAGCTTTTCTATACCCTTAATGAATGATTAATGATGTGGAAAACATGTATTGCAACAATAGTGTGTATGTGTGGTTGTTTCAACAAGCATGGATGACTAATTAAGTATATATTATCTAAGCAACATGGTGGATAGCACAATATATCAAACTAAGCCATTAATCCTTTCTTTAAGCTCATAATCCAAACACATCACAAGGTTAGAGACATATGCTACTTGTTTTCATAAGTATGGAACATCAAACAACAAGCATGGATTGTCCTCCCATTTAACATCTAAATTACAAGTACACTACAATTAAGCTAATGACATGGAATTAAACTAATTAAACTAAGGGAGAGGCACAATCCATCAAGAAATGAGTATGAACCATTAAATAAACCACAAGAGCATTCTATTAAGCACTATGTCTTGACAATCTCTAGATCCATAACATCAATACACATAGACATGCATCAAAAACACAAAATCTAGAGACAAACACATGAACATCTATTCTAGCATACATAGACATATAGATAGAATGAAATGATCAATTGGAAGCATTAAACCACACAAATCATTGAATAAACAAGATCTATGTATATAAATATGTCAAAACATGTATCACAACACAAATCCCCTCAAAAATACATAAATTAAGATGTAGAAAGCATGCTTAGGGCTAACTCTAGCCCCAAGAGGATATCTAGCCACTCATGGATGGTGTCCTCCAACCCTCAAGGGCTAACTCCATGGTAGAGATTGCTCATCTTTTTGGTTGATGGAAGAACTCCAAGCTTGTGTCTCTAGCCTCCTCTCTTCTTTTCTTCCTCACTAAGAATATGATATGGAAATTGTTTCTCTAGTGTATGTATGTCTTTTCTTCAAAGAATGGCTCATATTCCTTATATAGGTAGGTTAAAATGTCACCCCTAATGACCTGGCTCGTACACCAATATTCCTTCCAATGATTGGGTATGAGATAACTTTTAATGAGTTGAAAATTGAATTTTCTTGTACTTGGGAAAGTTCGATCGATCGAACTTAAGGTTTGATTGATCGAACATGGCTGAGATCTATCGAACTTAAGCTAGATCGATCCTCTATGGTGGCACCTTTTTGGATAAAGACAAATCTGAGATATTTTGGGGAATGAGACAAAAGTGGTAGGTGTGATAGTATAACGATGGAATCTTTTCGATCGATCGAAAAAAAGTTGGATCGATAGAACTTTGTGGAATCTTGGATAAGGACAAAATAGCTTGGATCTATCTTAAAATGTCTAGATCGATGAACTTTCGATTGATCGAATATTTCCTGAGATCGATCGAACTTGTTGAATTTCCACCAGTTGCTTCCTTTTGCTCCCACTTTGCTCCTTACTTTGATTCATCTCAAGATTGCTTCAATTATGCTTTTATTTAGCTGAGTTAGCCTATTTTGGGGATAAGTACTTGAAAATGGAAATAATACAAAATCAATCTAAAACGAAAAAATAAGATAGATAAAGGTTCTAGAATACCTAAGCTTAAGGGGTTTAAATGCTCACTTTTCAGCGCTCATCATTGACCACACTTTCGGATGGATCAGGCTCTGATACCATTTGTAATGACCCTTTCACCCTAGCCTGACATAATATTGTCCACTTTTGACTCTTCCGAACCAGAGACTTCATAAGGGGTCACCCATCCTGGTACTACTCCAGGTTAAACATGCTTAACTCCGGAGTTCTGATAGGTTTACGGTCATCATGACTTTAAATCGCGTTGTCATAGAAGGGTGTTGAGTCTACATATAACACTTACATTTTCCACACCCAGGCGATGTGTGATTGTACACCTGTAGCTCACCCAATGTGGTAGCCTACTAATACCTCGCACCCGCCCACATAGGTCGCCACACTATCCCTCAATAATAAAACACAAAGATGCTTGCGAAGGAAAAGTGCGAGAAAAAGGAAAAGGAAAAGGAAACTTGGTCCTCACAAGTTCACAATGCCAATTGTTACAACCTTTGACGGGACTACCAATCCTGTCAAACACAACTATCACATCTAACAAAGAGATGACGTTGGACGCAAAAGATGCGAAACTTATGTGCAAGGTCTTCCCTACTAGCCTAACCAAACAGGTTTTGTTGTAGTTTAAACAACGTCTATCCCAATCGATTCCAACTTTGAAAAGCTATGCAAATTGTTTATTTATGTAGGGTGTAAGAGACTAAAGAATAATAATAATAATAATAAATTGATTATCATGTTCATAATGAATGGAAGTGACAGGTTCTTGTATCAAAGCACTTTAGTGCCTAGGGTTAAAGGAACATCATATTAGAGAGAACAGACACACTGACATGTGGTGCTCTATCCTGAGCATTAATGTGGTAGTCAATAAATCCCATCTAAGTCAGCTTTTGATTTCTCAAATGTGTCCAAGACAAC